AATCAGCTGGCATACTTCTGGTTTTTTTTTCTGATAAAAGACTTATAGTTGCTTTGTTTTTCTAGTATTTGGACTATTTCTTTCTGTTGCCCTCTCTCATAAACTATAGGGCTTGGCAGCTATATTATGAAATAACATTTTTTTCCCTTAAAAAACCCCACAGACATTATTTATTTATTCTGGTATTTGTTACAGTGGAGAAGTTCACTTCCAGCCTGATTTTATTTTTACCTTTGTGAGAATCCTGTTTTACATGAGTCCTGCATTGGTAGGAACTTTCCTTTATCCTGAAAATTGAAGACTACAATAAGATATGGCGGCATATTAACTATGAAAATACTATGTAACAATAAGATATGGCTGCATGTAACTATTGAAAATACATTTTTAGAGATCTGTTTCCTTCACTGATTTTTTTCTGGAGCTAATCTGCTATTGATCACCTACTTTTAATTTAGTAGTTTCATCTCTATACAATATTTTAACTCCATACATTCTCTGGGATGGTCCCTTCTTTACAATTTCACTTCCAATTTCATGGAGGATACCCTGAACTCAACCACAGAAAGAACAAAACTGATCCTTTTTTTTTTTTTTTTAACTGTCTTACCTTAACCATGTAACTGATGGTAACTGGCATTAATCTCTTTATTCATCTTTACCTAGAATATCTAGAAAGAAAGCTGTTTTACTAATGGATAAATAAGTCTCTCTGACTCCTTTAAGCTCAACCAAGACAGAAGGGAAAAGGTTCTAAGTGTACTTTGTTAGATCAATGGCCCATGAGGCAGTAAAGAGGAAGCTACAGTGGGAGACAGCCACACCTCTTTGCAAAACTTTCTAACCTCTGGGTATTGGGGCAGGCTGCATTTAGTTTGGGTCATACTCTCATTTTCTCAATGGAAGGAATGCTTTCATGAAGAGCCATACATCCCATTTTTAATACTGATAGCTTAGTCATATCAGTATTCCTGTTCTGTGGGCTTGGAGGCACACCTGGTGCATTTTCAAGAAACACCAACAAGAATGAGATTGGCCATACACCTAATGCCCCACCATCTGGAATTTTTTCCAGTCCCCACCGTTACAAGCTGATAGGGGTAGGGGGCATTACTGGATAGCATTTGGAAGGCCTTCCCTCTCTTTCCCCTATTTAATCACATTCCGTTAATCAAGTATTGTTTGGCCTATCACTTGAGATGGATTCATCCCTGAGGGCGTGATATAGATCCTGATCCTAGTTTCCAACATTCATAAGGAATTTTGTTCTCTTGTTATTTTTATCATTTCATTGGGAATCTAAATTTAATTACATTAATGGGTTTTGGAGACCCAGTGTATGAATTCAATCACAAGGCTATGGAAAGCTTACCAATGAACAGATTAAAAATAATAATGAGGTAGGCCCATCATATAAGAAATGTGTCGTCATCTTTTTTGAGGTAAAGAAAAATTATCGAAAGACAAAAATTAAGAAAGCAAGCTTTTAGAAGCCAGCAAACAGAACATCTGGCTCGAAGAATGAAATTTCCTCTCAGAATAAGGTAGAGGAAAAATTACAGTCAATAACAAGATTTAAAATTTCTACTTGAGCAGCTCAGATTTTAGGAGATCAGAAATTCATTGAAGAAAAGAGTAACTTAAGAATAAACTTAAGGGCCAGGTTTTGGTCTTACTGTGAAAACAGAAATCCAGGTAGGAGAACTTCAGAGCCCACACGCCGAAAGGAGGGATAATTAACTCAAATCCAGCAAAGAAAGTTAATCCCTTGTTAACTCAAATTGTGGTCCAGGGACAAGCACCATAGCCATCACTTCTGAGCTTGATAGAAATGTAGACTCTCAGGCCCCCACCCCAGAACTACTGAATCAATATCTGCATTTTAACAAGATTTCCAGGTACATTAAAGTATGAGCAACATTAATTTCATCCTACTTATGGTAGAGGAGAAAGGGCAAGATCTTAAGCTGGTACAAATCTTTATGAAAGATGAATAGTAATGAACCACTTGGGGAAACAGGGTTTGCATTAGAAAATATAAAAACATTCCAAAAAGTGACATTGGGATTATCACTGGACTATCAAAGATAAGTCAAAAGCCTGGGGAATTTACAAAGCTTAGCAAATGCAAGAGTTTAGGGAAGTGTACATGATGGACTACATGTTGGCCCTTTGTGGGTCCCTAAGGGCACAGGCCTGAAAGCACCAAATAGCAGCAGCTCAGTTCAGAAAATGGAGGATGAAAGGTGGTGAAATCTCTCCTAGGAGGCAGGAGTTAGAGGCTTGAGAAAATTCAGAGTAGGAAGAAAGAAGTTGGAAGTAGGAAGAAGCCATAGCAACAAAAGTGGCAGAAGTGGCAGAGAGATTTTAAAAACAAAAGAGAACAAAAGGAGGGTTGGGCTTTAGAAATTGAGCAGAAGATAGTAAAGGGTACAAAACCAAGAACTCTTCCCTGAGGAATTATTTTGAAAACTGAATGGAAACCCTGCTCAAAAAAAAAAAAAAAAAAGAAAAAAGAAATTTTTATCCCTTCACAGATGTTATGATTTCACACATTTAAAACATAATTCAAATATCGTCTCTCATCTACTCTACAAACACTTCAGCGGTTCCCATTATCAGTGCTCAGTTAACATCTTCATGAGGCATTTCCTGACTATCTCATTTAAAACTGAAATTTCTTTCCCCAATACCACCAGGCCAGCACTCCCTAGCTCCTTGGCCTGCTTCATTTTCCTGTGAGTCATTTGTCACTTTCTAAAATACTCTTAAATTTACAAAGATTTGATTTATTGTCTTTCTGTCTTTTTACTAGAATTAAATTCCACAATAGGAGGGTTCTTTTGGTTTTGCTTACTACTGTTTTTGCCAGAGCTTAGTGCCTAGCATATACTGGAGACTTAATAAATATTTGCCTAGTAAAAATTCAAAAATGGAATGCCAGGAACACAAGTGTCAAAGAAAAATGTAATGGAAAATTACAAAGTTTTCTGAATATAGATTTTAATTAGAGTGTAAGCTCCATAATGGGGCACCTGGCTGGTTCAGTTGGAAAAGCATAGGACTCTTGATCTCGGGGTCATGAGTTCAAGCCCCACAAAGGGTGTAGAGATTACTAATAAATAAATAAATAAGTAAACTTAAAAAAAAATGTAAGCAAGTAGAATGTTTAATATAATATACCTAGTTTTACTGATTCTAAGGCATTTTTTTCCTATTTTTACAACTCTAAAATCAGAGTATGTTTTATAGTCAACGCTATCTTAGAATCCAAGCCAGCCTGGTAATGATCACAATGTAGTTGTCATTCTGTATCCATGGACATTCGAAGAGACAGCATGAAAACTTGCACAAAGGTATATTGGTGACTCCGAATAAAATCCAAGAGACTAGCAGAGCACTCTTTTAACTTGTGGGAGGCAAATGGTATGGGGAGGGCACAGGGCAATTAATGTAATTTAACAATACTCTGAAGCAGGAGTCAAAAGCTGGTGGGTTAAACAGAACCATAAAACCAGTTTAAGCTTTGGGCGCCTGGGTGGCTCAGTCGTTAAACGTCTGCCTTCGGCTCAGGTCATGATCCCAGGGTCCTGGGATCGAGTCCCACATTAGGCTCCCTGTTTCCTGGGAGGAAGCAGGAAGCCTGTTTCTCCCTCTCCCACTCCCCCTGCTTGTGTTCCTGCTCTCGCTATCTCTGTCTCTGTCAAATAAATAAATCTTTAAAGAAAAAAAAAAAAAGCTTAAGCTTTTAAAAGCCCAGTGCCAATGGCTTTTAGTTCTTTTATCAACTATTTTAGGAAATGCTACATTTTGATGCCACTGAAGACAAAATGGTATAGAAAAACAGACAGTGACTGAGTGGAAAAACAAATCTAGAGTCAGATTCTAAATGTGAACAAGTTCTAGATATATCTTAGCCAATTAAGTCTGCTTCTAATTTTCCTATGTCTATGTATGCACCAGAGTGAGAAATCATAAAAATGTATTTTAATTCAGTCTAAAAGATCTCTTTCAATAAATACAAAATAAAAATTCCAGATGAGAGAGAGCAATGCATGACGTTTCTGTTACTATGCTGATCTCCTTCCTTAAGATGGACAGCAACACTCCTGGTTGACCATAAGCCTCTCTTAATAACACATAATAGGAATAAATGTAAGATGTCTGAACACTTTACCCCTAGAGGGAGCTCAAAGTACATCTTCCTTTATTCCACCCTAGAGAATAATGATGAGATGACAAGGACATATTAGTGAGCCACAGTACTAGGTACTGCTTCCCAAGCAAATGGTAAAAAGATCAAATGATCAAATGTTCTTGCGTCTACAGATCTTTGGATCTTTGTCATTCCCTTCTGGATTTACTTTCTCCTCTCATATAGCACGTGCCAAAAAAAAAAAAAAAAAATTGCTTCCTATCTGGGGAAGGCTATTGAGAAAATAAATGAGAAAATCAGGATATAGCCAAGGGGAAAAAGTGACATGGGACAGACAGCCTGCTTTTGGGCTAGGCAAGAAGAGTCCTTCTTGAGTTCTACATGGGGCTTTGAAACCAAAGCCTATCGCAATAAAAAGTGTGAGTATATGTGCAAGATGTGCTTAGGAATCTACAAGGGTGGTAGCAGCAAGCTCTGGTCTAGCAAATGTGGAACTGGAATGTTAATTTGAACTGCTTTTAGTAATATAGCTAAAAGTTAATTTTAAGAACCTTATTTTTCTGCTAGTAAAATATATAGGATCCTAACCATTGCCATCTTAGTAAATATAAAAACCTAAAAGCAATAAACAATCAATATATCATTTTTAGGGGGAGAATAAGGCATGTGTTAAATGTAGACAAAATGTGAAGGAGTAAACTGTTTACCTGGAATGATCCAAGAATATCCTTTAAGGGCTCTTCATAAAACTCATCTCTTCCAAAGAACAGCAGCAACTCAAAGAAGCTCCTAGAAAGAATAAGTGAATAACTTTCATTGCTTCTTTAATTTTTTTTTGCCCCAATTTAAAATATTCTCAAGAGATAAAAACTATGTAATATCAGATATTTAGTTTTAAAATGGCCAGATTTTAATCATTACATTGATCATTTAAGATTCATGTTACGTTTTCAGTAAAATTTTAATAGAAGTGTCTTCAAAGAAAATACAAAGAAATATACTGAAGTTCTAGTCTACGGCCATACCACCCTGAAGCGCCCGATCTCGTCTGAAGTTCTAGAACTATAGAATGAACAATTACATTACTCATGCCTACCAGTGTTCACAATGCAAAAAAAACCCAAACAAACAAGCAAACAAACAAAAAAAACGCAGTGGTATACCAGGTGGCAAAAATTTTGTTACATGTGTCAAGATGATTTAAAATGGGTCCAGCTTCACCCTTGTAAAATGGGCCCCTTAGAAAATTCAATAACTAATTTTCTTCAGATGGATATAAAGGATGGATAAAATTAACATAAAAGTATAAGAAAATTAGAGAGTCACTGTGAAACTCTCAGCCAACATTTATGTTATAGTAGTATCACCAATTAGGTATCTAATAAACGATACATGGGTTCTCAAACTCTGGGCTTACCTTGATTTTCCCACTCATGACAGACAGCCCAAAAGTCTGTGGTTCCTTTTTAAATAATTGTTTTTGGAAAATATTGTAACTAAATACTTTATGTGTCTTTATAAATTCATAATTTCATATAGGAAGAAATAGGACTTATTTCCTAATCATGAGCATGAAAAACTATGAAAATTATTTAATATTACTTAGCAGTCCTAAAGTAGAGCAAATGACAAATACCACAGAATCTTTAGATTTTAATTCACCTACAAGATCCTCAACTAGGAATACCCAAAGTTGTATTTTTTAATCATTTTTTGCCTTTAATCCAAATTAATCTCTAAGAATGAAGTTTTTAGAATGCAAACATAACTATGAGACTATGTAGTTTAAAAAAAATTATATAAAAGACCCAAGTATTACACAATAATTAAATACTTCTAAATAACCATGCCCCATAACGTATTTTATAAAACTTTAATTACTTAAAGTAGTTAAAAACAATTTTTAAATGTCAACAGACCAAAATATATAAAAGTAATCAAAGAAAATGATACATAAAGAATCTTTGTTGATTTCCTTAATTAAAAAGCTTAAACATTTTTTTTTTTTTTTAAAGTAGGATCCACCCTGGGCGTGGAGCCCAATGCAGGGCTTGAACTCATGACCCTGAGATCAAGACCTGAGCTAAGATCAAGAGTCATACACAACCCAATGAGCCACCCAGACACCCCTGAAGAAAAAGTTAACAACCTGGTAAAACACTGGAAGAGGACTATCCCACAGAAAAGAAACACAAGTGAATTTTTTTTCAAATATGAAAAGATGTTCTACTTTACTCAAAGAAGTAAAAATTTATGAAGATGAAATACCTTTCCTATCATATTTATGATAGGAATGAAAATGCTGACGGCTCTGATGTAGAGAAATAAGCTCTGGTATCTTGTTGGAGGTATGGTAAGAGGTACTACCTCTTTTAAAGGGCAACACAGTAATAGTCATCAGAAAATTTACAATATGCACATAATCATTTGACTTAGCAATTCCACTTATAGAACTAAATCAGCCAAATATACACACATTAGCTCAAAGACTATATAGGGATATGCATCCACAAATGATTTGTAACAGCAAAAGAACAGAAACATACTAAATGTCTACCACAGGGGGCTGGGAAAATGAATTACAATACACCTATACAATGAAATATAATACAAATGTTAATGAGAATATTAGAATACACTTAAATCTATATGAATAGAAGAGGGGAAAATTCCAAGATATACTGTTAAGAAAAGATGCAGAAATATATTAACTACATTATCATTTGTGTGAAGGGAGGGAGGGGATAGAGGGCACATGAATACCAATGCATATTGTCAAAGTATCTAGAGGGATATGCAACAAACTGGTAAAAGCAGTCGACTCCACGTAAGTAAAACAGAATTTGGGGGCCAGAAATGTAAAGAATTGTCATTATTAACCCTTTTGCAATTATTTATTTTACTATTGATGAATATGAAAAAAGCCCCATCAATGTACCCCTGGAATCTTCTCTATCCCTATACCATTAATTCACATCTACATCATCTTTAAATTTCTAATAGACCTTTCCTATGCTATTCCACACTCACTCACTCATAAGTACATGTTTGATATAGCTGCCGCCATTGTTATCATCCTAAAACACAGAATGATTTGACTTAACAGACTTTACAAACTGCTGTTTGGATTGTACCATCTAAAAGCAAAGACATTCAGAGGACACACTTATTTTGTATGGATAAAATATTTTTTAAAAATATTTTAGTTGCTAATACTTAAAAACTTTGCTACTTCAGACTAAATCTAGATTTCCCTGAGCTCCTATGAAACAGGAACCCCTATAACACAGGGTTTGCATCTCTCTATGACAAAATAAGCTGAGCAGCTACTACCTTTAGACAGAACATGAACCTCCTTTCCAATTTGCCAGTCTCTGTCCACCTCTCCAACATACTAGCTGCTTAACTGATTTTTTTACTAACATTCCCTTCCCATTCTATGTAGATATTTGAGATCATTAATCTATAGCAGGAAATACAAATTCCTTATCTTGATATAAAAACTTTTATGTCTGATTCAAAACTATATTTACACACATAACTTTTATCAGAAATTTTATGCTCTCCAATCACAGCTTCTCCCCATTTCCTTAACTCATATGCTCTTATGGTCTTTGGATCTATTTTGCTTCCTCAAGACCTATTTACACAATTTTACATAGGAATCTGGTCTAAAATTCCCTTCCTTCTCTCCAAATATATAGCTGATTCTGTACTATCATAATATTGTACTTTACGTATATATTATAACCTATTGAAACAGCGGCATTAAGTTTGCACTAAGTAGAAGGGAAAGGGATTGCATCATTATGTTGAGTAGATAGTATTGACTGGTAGGGCAATTAACTGTATTAAAAGAGGGAGAGAGATAGCAAAGGTTTTTAGTAGAAATAAAATGTTCTATGGAGTATATTTAGATCTGAGTATGCAGACGCATGTGACCCTGTACAAAAAAATCCAACAAAATATGCAGAATTATATAATGTCTGAATTATGTGAAAATGAAAGGGGAGCCAACATAACAAAAGATAGAGATCTGTGCAGACCCCACTATCGGCTACCTCAATAACAAGGCCCAACTCCATGATAATGACATTAAAATGTTAAAACTACATGCAAAGTAAGAGTAAATAAAAACAAAAGAGTAAATAAAAACAAATCTAGCTAGCTCTGTCTTAGGGTTTCAGGGAAGTAAACAAGTATTTATGTGGTAGTGAAATCACTAGGGGAAAAATCTAGATTATTTATAGAAGTAGAAACTTCAGGCTCCAAACCTGTTGTATTTCCTATTGACTGGTATAAAGGATCAACTAAATGTTTAGAGATCAAGTTACCTAGCCCTCATGGAAGAAAACTCTATGATGGAGGGTGAGTCCAGACTAGAACAAAGTAGGACCCCCAAAATATATGTAGCAATCTAGAGCAGGGCTGGCAGACTACTATCCACAGGCTAAATCTGACCCAATGATAGCCTGTTGAATAATGCATGATAAGAATAGTTAGCCATATTTAAATTGTTAAAAGAAGAAGAAGAAGAGAAGAAAAACCTGGAATAACTTTTCGTGACAGGTAAAAATGATCTGAAATTCAAATATCCTGTCAATAAATGAGGTATTATAAGAAAACAACCATACCCATCCATTTACATATTGGCTATGGCTGCTTGCACACTACAATGACAGAACTGAGTAGTGGTAACAGAAACCTTAAGAGCTAAGCCTGAAATATTTACTGTCTGGCCCTTTACTCACCCATGGTCTACAGCCACAGTGTTTGGGTTTCAATCTCAGCTCCACCACTTTCTTGATATGTAACCCTGGGCAAGTCACTTAATAGCTCTATGCCTCAGTTTATTTGTTTATAAAACAGAAATAATAACTACCTTTTGTAAAGCACTTAGAACAATCAATCCCTGGTTGTGCTACTGATGCTTGCTAATAATAAAAGTACTGTTAATTTTTATTATTAACATTGCCATCAAAGTTCCTCCTTCAATAATCTAAGAGGAAACACAGATCTTCATAGATTTGTTTTTCTCTGCTGTGTACTGTCAATTTTGTTGAAACATAAGACATCAATTTTTCTTCACTTACATTATGAAGCTTTTTAAGATATCTGACTAAATTCATCAAAGGGTTTCTAAAAATTTATTAGTGTATGTTTATATCAGTTTTTAATTTTGAATATGTTTAATATAATGTTTAATGTTTGTATAATGTATATTTAATACAATATTTAATATTACCAGTCGATATACTAATCAATTTATAATTAACCTTAGTCCAAGTTATGAGTTAACTAAAGTTCATTTACATAAATTGAAATATTTATTCAAAATAGAATTACTTAAAATGACTTCTATAAAAACAAATTATTTATAGTGGGACATATACATGATAAATAGCATGCCTTTGAATTTAAAAAATTATACATTATATAATCATACTTACTTGACTTGCATCAATCAGTATATTGCTATGAGTTATGCAAGTTTAAATAAGTAGAGTACTGGTACAGTCCCTATTTATGAAACAAACTACACACCACCATCAGGATTCTTGGAAGTCAGACTATATTTTCTCATCTATTACAAATGGTAATAAAGTATCAGACTTCCTTAAAATAAGACACACATAGTAGATTGTTTGGTAGTTACAACGAGAATTACTATTCTTTTTTGGGGTCTCTGTAGCATATAGGTAATTTTCACCCTGAAATACAAGAATGTGAATTTGTGTATTTATCCACCATAGGAAAATTCCACTGAAGTATGATGCTTATTAACTATCCAAATGCAAGAAATCCACTTACTAATATAGAATACAACAGAGAAAGACAAACAGAAAACACAAGCAAGAACTGGAGATACAGGGAATGGAGTGTACATGTCTAAGATGTCTAATTATACTTGCACAAAAAAAAAAAGAGAGAGAGAGAGAGAGATGAGGTAAAGACAAAAACAAGGTAAGACTTTTTCATAATTGATGAAAAATACCAACCCTCAGATCTAGGAAGCCCAGGAAACCCCATTAAGGATTAATAAAAATAAGTCTAAACCTAGCTAATCACAGTAAACTATAAAACATCAAATACAAAAAAAAAAAAAACAATGTATAAACAACCACAGAAAAATAGAAACTGTTTTCAAATAGATAGGAAATTAAATTAGCAAGAAGGATCTAAGATGCAAATTAGTGAATATATAGGCTACAAATTTTGACACCCTTCATGAAGAAATAATCTCATCTGGGCTTTAAAATACAGCAAAAACACATGACATAAATAGCATTTAAGTTGGAAGGAGAAATTTTAGGATTATTATTCCAGTGTCCTTAGACTGGAGGAAGGTAATTTAAAATTTACATACAAATAAAAGTACTTGCAAGTTTTTGTGGAGGTAGGAGAGTTGATTATCTAGAAAGCTGAATATCTAGAAAAACCATGAAACAGAGTAATGAAAAGGAGCAAGCCAATATTAAAACATTTTGTAAAGCCTCTATAATTGAACCACCATTGTATTGGCAGATGAAAAAATAGCCTAATGAAATGAAAAATCCAAAAATAGACCAACTGATGTGAAAAGTGCATATATGACAAAAGCAGCATCTCAAATCAGTAGGGAAAAAGTTGACTTCTTTGTATTGGATAGTCAAATGTTATAAGACAAAACTGATTCACTCTAGGTTCCAAACAAGAAAAAATTCAAAGTGTATCAAAAACTTAAATATAAAAAATTAGACATTACAAATATCAGAAAAAAATCCCATATAACCTGGTTATAGACAAATCATTTTTCTTTAAATCATTCTTAACTATGATTCAAGATGCAAGAGCAATAGAGGAATACTGACAAATTTTAATTACATTTTAAAATGTCTAAAAATACGAACAAAATAAGCAAAATCAAAAGATGAATGAAAAAATAATGGTTTGTAAGGATATGCAAAAAGATGTTCAACTTCACTCACAATAAGAAAAATATAAATTAAGGGGCGCCCGGATGGCTCAGTTGGTTAAGCATCCGACTCTTGGTTTTGGCTCAGCTCATGATCTCAGGGTTGTGAGATGGAGCCCCATGTCAGGCTCTGCTCAGCGTGGAGTCTGCTTGTCCCTCTCCCTCTGTTCCTCCCTCCATTCTTGCTCTCTTGCTCTCTCAAATAAATAAAAAATCTTAAAAAAAAAAAAGAAAGGAAAATACATATTAAAAATACAAATTAAAACTACATTGAAGGGTGTCTGGGTGGTACAGTTGGTTGAGCATCCAACTCTTGATTTTGGCTCAGGTCCTGATCTCAGGGTCATAAGATGGGGCCCTGCATCGGGCTCTGCACTCAGCATGGAGTTTGCTAAGAATTCTCTCTCCCTCCCTCTCTGCCCCTCCTGCTTGTGCTCTCTTTCTCTCTAAAATAAATAAATAAATCTTTTTTTAAAAAATACACTAAAATGCCATTACTCCTCTGTTAGATTAGCAAAAAAATCAAAAGTCTGATAACACAAAATTGGTAAAGTTGAATGTAAACAAGGACTAATTTTGTGGGTGAGAATGCAAGATGGTATGAGCTGTTATAAAGAAAACTTTGGCCTACTTAGCAAAATTACATATCTATTCATTCTTTGATTCTAGGAACCCACCCTAAAAATCTACTGGCAAAAACAAAAAAATGCATGCAAAAGGATATTAATCATAGCACTATTTATATAGGAAAATAATAGAAACAATCCAAATATATATCATTAGCAGATATGACGGAATAAATTGGCACATCTACACAATAGAATACTATGAGGTATAAACAGGGACTTGGACTAAATCTTTATCTCCAAAGAGTACTCTCTAAGATATAATATTAAGAAAAAAAAAAGTGTGTATCTGTTTACATAAAAAGGGCATAGGGGTATGGTTATATATGTTAGTGGATCTTGTTTTTCTATCCAACTAACCAACTTTTGTCTTTTTTAATAGGTTTAGACCATTTACATGTAATATAATTTTTGATGTGCTTAGATTAAAACCTATTCTCTTAATAGCTGTTTTCTATTTGTTCTATCTTGTTCACTATTGCATTTGACCTCTTCTTCCACCTATTTTTGGATTAAGTAACTTTATAATTCCATTTTATCTCCACTTGGGCTTAATATATCCACCTCTGTATTCAATGTTTTTAGTGATTACCCTAGAATTTACAATATATATCTTTAACAAATCCCAGCATGCCTTCAAATACTATGCTGCTTTAGGTATAAGAATCTTTGTGCTATTCTTGTCATTCATTTTCATTTTAAATATGGTATAAACCAACAGTGCTTCACTACAATTCTTGTTGTAATCTCGGCATTTAGAAAATATGACCCATAGGCTGGCTTGCCAGTTTTTGTAAAAGTTTTATTGAGACACAGCTACATGCATTCATTTGTGTATTGTCTATGGCTGCCTTGGTGCTACAAGAGCAGAGTTGAGTAGTTACAACACCCTACAGTCTGCAGGTCTAAAAAAACCTGGCCCTTTAAAACAGTATTTGCCAACTTCTGCTTTAGGCAGTTATGTTTCACAGTGATTAAAAACAAGAAAATTCTATTTTATATTTATCTTCAGTTTTTATCATTACCAGCTCTCTTCATTTCTTTGAGTAGATTTTCTGTCTGGCATCATATTAGAATGGTATCTTTTGTAGTCCACATCTTCTGGGAATGAGTAATTTCAGCTTCTGATTCCCTGAAAACATCTTTAATTTCCTTCCGGTTGGAGAGTTATTACTTTTTTTTTTTCTTTCAGCACTTTAAAGATGTCACTTCACTGTGTTCTGACTGGCATAGTTTCTGAGATGTCTGCTGTATTTCTGTAATCTTCTAAATTAGGTAATGCCTTACTCTGGTGGCCTTTAAGATTTCCTCTCTGATTTTCAGAGTTTGAATGTGATGGATCTAGGTGATCTAGGTGGTAGGTCAGGGTGTATATGTTTGAAATTATCCTGCTCCTGAGTTTCCTGGATCTGTGGTTGGATGTCTTTCTTTATAGTTGGAAAACTCATGGCCATCACTTTAGCAGTATTTCTTCAGCCTCATTTTTCTTCTCCTTCTAGGATTCTAGTAGACGTATATTATACAGTTTCATATTTCCCTAAAGCTCTTTTTTAAGTGCTCTGTTTTTTCTTCTCTTTTTCTCTTTTTACTTTTAGTCTGGGTAATTTCTATTGACTTATATTCAAGTTCGTTCATTCTTTCTTCAACTGTGTCAACTCTACTGATATGCCCACCAAAGGCATTCATCATCTATTACTGTGTTTTCCATTTCCAGCATTTCCATTTGAATTCTTTCTTAAAGTGTCCCATCTCTCTGCTAAAATCCCCAATGTTTAACCATGTTATCAACCTTTTCCACTAAAGCATTTATACCTGAATTTAGTTCTTCTAATTGATTTTCTCTTGATAGTGTCAATAATTTGTAGCTGAAAGCTGGATTTCATGATATACAACAGCATAGACTGATGTTAATAGTATTTATACCAGGGGATAGACATGCCTTTTCTTCCATTAGACCTTTATTATGGAAATTTAAGTAAATCTAGTCATGAATTAAGTGGGTTTGAGTTATGTTGTTGCTATCATGACCTTCAGTGTACCACCAGTTTCAAATTCCTTTACTGTTTTTTTAAAGATTTTATTTATTTGACAGAGAGAGAGAGAGAGCACAAGCAGGGAGGGAGCAGCAGAGAGGGAGAAGCTGGCTCTCCACTGAGCAGGGAGCCTGACACAGGGCTTGATCCCAGGACCCTGGGATCATGACCTGAGCTGAAGGCAGACGCTTAACTGACTGAGCCACCAAGGTGCCCCTCCTCTACTGTTATATTTAGGGTGGAGGCTGGGTTGCCAGATATTTTAGGTTTGGGAGGTCATGAGATCAAGCCCCGAGTCTGGCTCCATGGTTGACAGAGAGTCTGCTTTAGATTCTTTTTCTCCCTCTCCTTCTGCCCCTCCCTCTGCGTGCTTGCTCTCTCTCTCTCTCTCAAATAAATCTTAGGGCACCTGGGTGGCTCAGTTGGTTAAGCGACTGCCTTCAGCTCAGGTCATGATCCCAGGGCCCTGGGATGGAGTCCCACATCGGGCTCCCTGCTCGACAGGGGGCCTGTTTCTCCCTCTCCCACTGCTTGTGCTCCCTGTTCTCTCTTTGCCAAATAAATAAATAAAATCTTTAAAAATAAATTAAATAAATAATAAAATAAATAAATCTTTAAAAATACAAAGACTATTCTTAGCTTGGAAACCATATTAAAGGGGGGGGGGGCATGGGCAGCATTTGACCCATGGGCCATAGTTTGCCAACTCCTAAGAATAACCACGTTAAGAAAGATATAAACGACCCAAATAAAACTTTTATACATCAAAAAATACAATATCTGAGATGAAAAATACATTACATGGGATTAATGTCAAATCAGATACTGCAGAAGATAACATCAATGAAAACAAGAGAGAGCATTATTAAAATAAAACACACCAAAAGAAAAGAAAGGAACTGATAAAAATGAACAGAACCATCAGTAAACTGTGGGTCATTTGTGGATTCTCTTCAAGTGTCATCCCTTAAGAAAACATAATGATGCTTTCTAAAATAATTTTTGAGGGTGCTTGGCTGGCTCAGTCAGTAGAGCATGCAATTCTTGATCTTAGGATTGTGGTTTGAGCCCCACATTGGATATAAAGATTACTCAAAAATAAAAATCTTTTTATTTTTATAAAATTTCCCAAATTTGGTTAAAATTGTAAGTCCAAAGACCCAAGAAGCTTAAGATCAAGAAACATAAAGGAAACTACACAAGGCAAATTACAATCAAATTTCTTAAAACCAGGAATAAACTTCAAAAGATACCAATAAGAAAATGAAGAGAGGCTAGAGTGGAAGTATTTACTAATCACTTATCTGATACTGAATGTATAAACAGAATATATAAAAAAAAGTCCTACAATTCAATAACGCAAACAATCCAACAATGAGCAGAAGATTTGAATAGATACATTACCAAAAGAAGACATGCAAAAAAAAAAAAAAAGAAGAAGACATGCTATAGCAAGTATACAAAAAGATGGTTGCCATCAACAGCACTGAGGAAATGCATATTAAAGCCAAAATGAGATACCACCACATAACTACTAGAATGGCTATTATAAAAAAGACAAATAATATAAAAAATGTTAGTGATGTGGAGAAACTAACACCCCCCCCCCCCGACAGCTGGTTAGAACTTCAAATGGTATAGTTACTTTGGACACAGTTTGGCAGTTCTGTGTTGAACAAATGTTAAACATAACATATAACATCCATTCCTAGGTAGCTACTCAAGAGAAATAAAAACATTTGTCCATACAAGACTTAATAATACACAAACGTTCGGGGCGCCTGGGTGGCTCAGTCGTTAAGCGTCTGCCTTCGGCTCAGGTCATGATCCCGGGGTCCTGGGATCGAGCCCCACATCGGGCTCCCTGCTCCGCGGGAAGCCTGTTTCTCCCTCTCCCCCTGCTTGTGATCCTGCTCTCACTGTGTCTCTCTCTGTCAAATAAATAAATAAAATCTTAAAAAAAAAAATAATACACAAACGTTCAAAGCCAAAAATTGGAAACAATCCAAATATCCATTAATTGCTGAATGCATAAACAAAATGTACTATATCCATATAATGGAATACTATTCAGAACAAAAAGGAATGAGCTCCTGGTAAGTGTTACAACATGGATGAACCTCAAAAACATTATTTTAATTAAAAGAAATCATATCTAAAAGCCTATATATTGTGTTATATATTGTTTGTATGGAATGTCCAGAAATAACAACTCTATTGAGATAGAAAATAGATCAGGGGTTGCCTTGGGCTGAGGAGGGACTGGGGATTGGCTGTAAATGAGCATGAGGGAGCTTTTCGGTGTGATGAAAATGTAAACTGGATTGTGATGATAGCTGCACAACTCTACACACTTACTAAAAATTATCAAAGTATACACCTGCAAAGCACAAATAATACAAAATTTTTACCTCAATAAAGCTGTAAATTAAAAAAAAAACAAACCTAGAAGTGGGTAAGGAGTGGGGATGTACAGAGAAAACAAAATTGATATGCTGATAAATGTTGAAGCTGGTGATGGATAGGGCAGTTCATTATAATATTCCTTCTACTTTTGAATAGGTTTGACAACTGTCATAATTAAAAAAATTTTTAAACACAAGTATTGACAAAGGTATAGGGAAACAGGTACTCTTACACTGCTGGCAGCAAATGAAACAGTTGACAAAATCAAAAGACAGCCTACAGAATGGGAGAAGATATTTACAAATGTCTTATCAGATAGAGGGCTAGTATCCAAAATCTAGAAAGAACTTATTAAACTCAACACCCTTTCTCTAACTTCTTTCACTTAGGAAAATGCCTTCAAGGTCCACCATGTTGTCACAAATAATGTGATACCTTCTTTTTTGTGATATATATATATGAGATATATACACATTTTATGTGAGAGGGATGTATCATATTTTCTTTACCCATTTATCCATCGATGGGTGCTGAGGTTCTTTCCATGTCTTAGCTATTGTAAATAATACTATAATAAACATAGGAGTAACAGTATCTTTGCAAGATAATGGTTTTGTTTTCTTTGGATAAATACCCAGAAGAATTATTGGATTGTATAATAGTTCTACTTTCAATTCTTTGAGGGTACTCCACACCTTTTTTCATAGTGGCTGCAACAATTTACATTCCCACCAACAGGGCACAAGGTTTCCATTTTCTCACATCCTTGCCAACACATTTTTTCCTGTATTTTTGATACTAGCCATTCTAACAGGTGTGAGGTGGTAACTCACTGTGATTTGATTTGCATTTCCCTGATTATTAGTGATGAGCACCTCTTCATATACCTGTTGGCCAAATGCATATCTTATTTGGGAAAATGTCCATTCAGATCTTCTGACCATTTTTTAATTAGATTGGGTTTTTACTATTGAGTTACAGGAGTTCTTTGTATCTTTGGGATATTAACCACCTCATCAGATGTATGATTTGCAAACATTTTCTCCCATCTAGTAGGCTGCTTTTCATTTTGTTGATGGTTTCCTTTGCTGTGCACAAGCTTTTTAGTTTGATGTAAGCCCCCTTGTTTATTGTGCTTTTGATGCCTTTGCTTTGGGTGTCAAATCCAAAAATTTCACTGCCAAGACTAACGTCAAGGACCTTATCACCTATGTTTTCTTCTGGGAGTTTTATGGTTTCAAGTCTTAAGTTCAAGTCTTCAACCCATTTTGAGTTGATTTTTGTGTATGGTGTAAGACATGGTCTAGTTCCATTCCTTTGCATGTGGCTATCCAGTTTTCCCAGCACCATTTACTAAAGAGACGGTCCATTCCCCAATATATATTCTTGACTCCTTTGATATAAATTAACTGACCACATATGCGTCAATTTATTTTTGGGCTCTCTGTTCTGTTATGTTAATCTATGTGTCTGTTTCTATGCTAATACCATACTGTTTTGATTCCTACAACCTTGTAACATAGTTTGAATTCAGGTCATATGATGCCTCCAGCTTTGTTCTTCCTTTGTTACATTCAAATCGTAGGAATTATTTGTTCTATTTCTGTGAAAAATGCCAATGGATTTTTGATAGAGACTCCACTGAATCTGTAGATTGCTTTGGGTGGTACGAACATTTTAACAACATTAATTCTTCCAATCCATGAGTATGGAATATCTTTCCATTTATTTGTGTCTTCTTCAATTTCTTTTCATTAGTGCCACATAGTTTTCAGTGTACAGGTCTTTCACTTCCTTGATGAAATTTATTTCTAGATATTTTATTTTTTGATACAGTTGTAAATAGGACTGTTTTCATTTCTCTGTCAGTTCACTATTAGTACACAGAAATGCAACATTTTTGTACACTGATTTTGCATCTTGCAAATTTATTAACTTTTTTTTATTAGTTCTAACAGTTTTCTTCATAGTTTCCTATGCATAATATCACATCATCTGCCAACAGAGACAGTTTTACTTCTTTTCTGATTTGGATGACTTTTTTTTTTTTTTTTTTTTGCATGATTGCTTTGGCAAAGACTTCCACTACTATGTGAATGAAAGTGGCAAGAATGGGCATCCTTGTCTTATTAAAGGGAAAACGTTCAGCTTTTCACCACTGAGTATGAGTTAGCTATGGGCTTGTGATATATGTGGCCTTTATGATGTTGATGTATGTTCCCTTATACCCACTTCGTTGAGAGTTTTTATCATAAATGGATATTCAATTTTCTTAAATGATTTTCTGCATCTATTGAGAGAATCATAATGATTTTTACCCTTTATTTTATTAATGCACTATATCACATTGATTTGTGAATGCTTGAACCATCCTTGCATCCCCTGGGGGAAAAAACCCCACTTAATCATGGTGTGTGATCCTTTTAATAGGCTGCTGTATTCAGTTTGCTGATATTTTGTTGACTATTTTTGTAACTATGCTCCTCAGGGATACTGACCTGTAATTTTTCTTTTATTGTGGTATCCCTTTCTGGTTTTGGTATCCAGGTAATGCTGGCCTTGTAAAATGAGTTTGGAAGTGTTCCCACCTCTTCAGTTTTTTGAAGGAGTTTGATATTAATTCTTTTTTGAATATTGGATGGAATTCACCAGTGAAGTCGTCTGGTCCTGGACTTTTGTTTGTTGGGAGGTTTCTGATTACTGATTCAATCTCCTTTCTAGTAATTAGTCTGTTCAGATTTCTATTTCTTCATGATGCAGTCTGGTAGATCATGCGCTTCTAGGAATTTATCCGTTTCTTCTAGGTTGTCAAATTTGTTGGTGTGTAACTGTTCACAGTAGTCTCTTATCCTTTGTATTTCTGGTATTACTTGTCTATCTTCTCTTTCATTTCTGATTTTGAGTCTTCTTTTTTTGTTGATGAATCTAGATAAAGGCTTCTCAATTTTGCTTCTCTTTTCAAAGAATCAGCTCTTAGTTTCATCGATCTTTTCTTTTGGTTAGTCTCTCATTTCCATTCTGATCTTTGTTATTTATTTCCTTCTATCAACTTTGGGCTTCATTTGTTCTTTTTTTCCTAGTTCCTTGCAATGTACAGTTAGGTTATTTATTTGAGCTCTTTCTTGCTTCCTAAAGTAGGCATTTATCTTTATGAACTTCCCTTTTAGCACTGCTTTTGCTGCATCCTGTAAGTTTGGTATGTTGTACATATATCTATTTTCATTTGTCTCAAGGTATTTTTTGGTTTCTCTTTGACTTCTTTTTTGACCCATTTGTTCAATAGATTGCTGTTTAATCTTCACATATTGGTAGTTTTTCCAGTTTTCTTCTTGTAATTGATTTGTTTTTATACCTCTGTGGTCAGAAAAGATGCTTAATACAATTTCATTCTTCTTAAACATATTAAGACCTTTTTGTGGCCTAATAAATGATCTATCCTGTGCACATGAAAAGAAGGTATATTCTGTTTCTTTTGGATAGAATATTCTGTATATGTCTGTTTAGTCCGTCAGGTCTAATGTGTTGTTTAAAGCCAATGTTTCCTTATTTTTTATCTGCATGATCTAACCATTGATGAAAGTGGGATATTAAAGTTTCCTACCATTATTATATTACTGTCTATTTGTCCCTTTAGATCTCTTAATATTTGCTTTTATGTAATTTAGGTGCATCTAAGAGAATGTTTTTAAGATTTCTGTATAAGGAGCAATGGGCAAAACTCTGTCATCTTTTCAACAATTCAGAAGCATTTCTTTTTCTTTCTTCTTCTTGTTTTATTCCACAGTGAAAGCTGACAGTATGATGTTGTGGTCCAGTTCTACAAACCAAAGCTATTAGGAGGAAGGGAGGAAAAGTTAAAAGGTTCAAATCTGTAGTTTTTCAGGAATCTGGTTTAGCCCAAAATAAAGACATTCAAATTCAGAAAAATTCAAACATGTATTTACACAATTCATAATGACTCTATACATCTTCTAAAGAATAATCTTCCTAAAAGCAGTGAAAATAGTAATAGCTTTTAGTCTACTGCTTTTTCACTCTAGTTTTTGTGTATCTCCACTGACCAAGAATTATCAAGCCTTCCTTCAATTATATTAGAAAAGCAGTAAATACCATTTTATAAAACTATGCATGTATATACCTCTAGGTTCTGATATATATCAACATGGATGGGAATAGAGTATGTCATCACCTGATCACTTTTCATCTCTGTCAACACAAATATACCACTTAATAATCCCTCTCTATCTCTTTGCCAATAAAATGACTATTAAATGCCAATAAAATGAAGTCTCAATTGCTTCACCCCAAAATTAACAAATGGAACAATAAAGGCCAAAATTATAAGGAAAAAAATTCTAAGCATTACTAGCACCAAATGAAATGCTGAGTTTCTAAATATAGCCAGTATAAACAAATGCATGCAGGTTTGTCTAATGTTGACTTTAGCTACAACAAATCCTGAAAACAAAATATTCTAATTTAATGGTAAAGAAAAACAAAGCAATGCGGAGAGAATTTAATATGGGAATTAAATTAAGATCACCAATTGCCTCAAAAAGGAAATCATTTCTTTTTTTAAATTAATTAATTAAGGTTTAAGTAGGCTCCATGCCCAATGTGGGGCTTGAACTCATGACCCTGAGACTGAGTCACATCCTCTACCAACTGAGCCAGCCAGGCGCTCCAGAAATCATTTCTTTAAAGAGAGAAAACAAAGAAATAGCAGGCTAGACAGCCTAGATTTCTCTGTAAAATAAATGAGATCACCTGCCACAAATGATTAGTAAAGATAATAGATATAAAATTGGAGAAGGTTTTGAATAAGTGTTGGTCAAAAAATTAAAAAATCAAGAAGCAGTAAGTGCTACATGTTGCAGAGAAAGGACATACAGATTGGGGCCATAAGACATACACCTTTAGTGGGGCCTGGCCCCACCCCCAAAACAGCCCTTTATAATTATCCTTTCTTCCTTTAATTTGTAAGCTATTTCCTAAGTTAGTTGAAGCCTAGACCTAAGTTATAAATACAACCAAATAAAACTTGGTTGAATAGAAGTTAGGTACAAAATATGTTTAAAATGTAATTCCATTTAGCAACATAGTCAGAAAGGGTTACTGATCTATCATTACATGTGTGGCCTAACACATGAATGTCTAACCAATCTAAATAAGACACTGATTATACCCATTTAATTCCATGAAAGAGACGGCCTTTTGGTCTTTTCTTCTAGGCAATTTGGCATATTAGGGTATACATTTTTAGTATTTGCCACTACACATAATAAATACTACTAGCTGAACTAGTTCCCTCCCCAGTGGATCATATAGATCTTTGTGGACCTTAAACGGCTGCCAGGCAAATAGGTACTGTCCATCATGGAACCCTGTGTGGAATGCTAAAATCTATGAACATTTACTTTCTGTTGGGCTAAAGGTGGCTGGAAAGGCAACATTAAAGTTTGCTTTTATTTTATATAAAACTGGTGAAGTCTAAGTTCTCTGCCTAAAGATCCACTTAATTTCAGGGTGTTTGGCTCTGTAAAACAGAAATCAGTGTTTAACCAATCTAAAACAAGAAAACAATAGGAAACAAAACAAAACAAAACAAAAAACACTTAACTCAGACTTGCAAAAGTCCCCTACACTTCTCAGGCCTAAGTTTTCTTATCTATAGAAGAGATTTAACCTGAAGTCCTTTTTAGTGAAAATACATACATACATATACACACAGCTAAATCTTCATTTCTTTAGAAAATACACTTACTAAACGAATCAACCTAGGTAAAATCATAATTAGTCAATTTAAGACAATTCTCTACATGACTATATTCACTGCCACAAAATTAAAAAAAAAAACAAACAAACTCAAGTATGAATAAAAACAGAATCCACCTTCCTTCCCTGTAAAGAAGACTTTCACAAAACTGTAGTTTTTGTAGTCTCCCAGTCTATAGAAGGCACATCTTCACATATGTATAATTTACAAGATGGAACAGGCTTTTATGAAGGTGGACATATGGACCAGATAATACTGCCACAGAATAAAGTAACTTATATGTTTAACATATATTATATATATATATATATATATATACATACTTATATATATATTTATATAAAACAAAATCTCATAGATATTACTTAACTCTTTAGCTCACCTATAATTTTTTAGTATGTCAAGTGAGTAAGAAACGTTAAGTACATGATATGGACCACAAACAAGAATTCAACAAACAGATATGAATTATAATGAAATCCATTAATATCCTGACATCCTATCCAGTCACCTTGCACATTCTATTTGCCATCCCTGGGAGGCTCTTCTGCTCCTTCATCTAAATAACTGTTATCATTCATTCAGAGCTCAGCTCAAGTGTTAGCTCACCAGCAAATTTTCCCTGACCTCCCAGACCAAGTCCCCTGTTATACTCTCTCATGGTACCCTGTAATTCTTTCATAATTATAATTACATAATACTGTGACTGCTTATTTAATATGTTTTAGCTTTGTAAGATCTTTGAGAACAAGGACTTATCTCTCTTATTTTCTATTTTAGCCTAGAACCAAGCACAAGAGATTCACTGAATGAATGAATGAATGAATGAATGATTATGGAATTAGAAGAATTTTCTGGTTTATATTTTTATTAAAATAAACTGAACACTGTTAAAGACTCTTTAGTCTTTTAATAGTATCACCATGTTGCTATTTCCTCATTTTTCTTCTGGTATTAAAAATACAATTAACTTTTCTGTTAAAGTAAACTCAAATAATGCAGGAAGTTTTCCTTATAAGAAACATTACTCTTTGACAAACCACTAAGATAGTTTACTTTCTTTTGCCTAACACTGTGCAAAAATTTGCTTCTGCTTAATACATTATTTTTTTCATTAGCAGTAGTAAAAAAGATAGCAAGCAATGAAACGGAAACTAACAAATGAGTTAAATTAAAAAAAAAAAAAGTACTTCTGAAAACCTTAAAAGTATTTCCCATTATAACACGAATGTTAACAAAGATTATATAGGTGAAAGGTGGGGGAAAAATCCAAACAGGCACTGAAACAAGAATAATACTTTTTGCTTACAAATAATGTTATTTCTTTTGATACTTATTTTCTTTTCCTCAGAAATCAGTAGAAAATAACTAAAACTGTTTCAGTAGTTTTCAAAATGACACATAAAATTATTCTTTGTAGTGGACATCTGTTATGTTTGTTTACCTAGCAGCTCTCTTTCACACTCCCTCATTTGCTTCTTGAGGGAACTTGCTTACGCCTCCAACATTTCTATGGTTCTGATTGGCCTGTAAATGTAGTATCCTCGTTCCCCCAGCCATGGGGTGAGCTGATCATCAGACTGAGCCAAAATTCTTACTATACTCTCCTAAACACAGCTATTAGTCAAAGCAGGAGGCACATAAGTTGGCTGGGCTCAAGTTCCCAAAAATATTTTGAGGATTACAAATGGGTGGGGGGAGGTTCTTCTCCCTTGGTTAATAAACTAAGCTTAATTGCAGAACTGTCAGGAGCCCTGAGTGAATGAAGACAAAAAAGGGAAGACAGAAAGGGGGAGAACAGTTCTAGATGATATTTTATTCTCTGGATTCAGAAAATCCTGAAACTAGTTCTAGTCCTTGCTTTTCCATGGTGTAGTCATCTAATAAATCCCCCTACACCCTTCTTTTTTTGCTTAAGCTAGCTTGAGTACGTTTGTCAATTATAATCAGAAAGTCCTAATACATCTTCCATATTCATTTGGGCATCATAAAAAAAAATAAATAAAAGAAATATACATTTTTAAATAATATAATTTTCTTTACACTGCATTGCTCTTACAAATCTATAAGGTTATATTCTAAACTCTTTCCTCCTACAATTTTTTTTTCAGCTTCACTGGGGTATAATTGACAAACAGAAATTATATATATTTAAGGTATACAACTTGATGTTTTGAAATACATATACACAGTGAAATTATCACCATAATCAAGCTAGTTAACATATCCATCACCTCACACAGTTCTCATATAATTTTAAATATCTACAAATAAACTTTTAAAGAAACACAATGTACATGTACTCTTTTAAATTTTATATACATACATAAAGCAAAAAAACCATATACTTCATATATATGAAATTAATACACCTTCAAGATTTAAAAATGCTAACTGTACAGAAAGAATTCAGTCTTCTCTCTCACTAGTCCAATGCTCTAGAATTAACAACTTTCAAAATTTTTAATAGCTGTTGATAATAAGCTTTGTCAGTATTTCTTTATTTACCAATTTTAAATATTACCTCTTGATTTTCTGCTGTGGGAGAAGAGAATTTAATTCCTCACACAACCAATTCCACATTCCCATTAGTTATTAGTTCTTCTATTATTGATCTTTATAACTTTACTTACACATTTATTTATGGTTTCATGTACTACTGATACTCCATTTTGTAAAGTAAGAATCGAAGGATATTTTTTAGTGCCCTTATTCTTCACTTTCAACTTGTAACTTCCATCAAATAATCTTATATTGAATGGTTAATAATTTCCTTCTGTTCTGTAACTGTAATTATTTTTGTACTCTATAAAGTTTAAAGTCAGTAAACATCATTTACATTAAGAAAACTAAGTCATTAAGCGTCTGCCTTTAGCTCAGGTCATGATCCCAGGATCCTAGGATCGAGCCCCACATCGGGCTCCCTGCTCAGCGGGAAGCCTGCTTCTCCCTCTCCCACTCCCTCTGCTTGTGTTCCCTCTCTTGCTGTGTCTTTCTCTGTTAAATAAATAAAATCTTTAAAAAAAAAAAAAAAAGAAATCTATGTAAATAACACTCAGTACATATTGAAGTAGTCTGCTATAATTCTGTGTTTTTTCCTGTTCAGATTATTTTTAATTTTCCTGGAGTATCTAATTCCCTTTTTATTTTCTTGCCTTTTTTTTTTTTATCACTACCTTAAATGGTTCTAAATTCTCAAGATTACTCTCAAATCTCCAGTTTTACTGAATATTACCTATTCAAGGTGATCTATGAGACCTACTACTCAACAGTGATCCTAGGACTTCTCTTTCCTCTATCTCAAGTAAAAAAACCACTATTTTCTAGATCCACTGTCATTTTCTGGAATACATTCTCTAATAACTTCCTAAAAGAAAGGGTATGTCGACAAGTCAATCTTCTACATCCTTATATACATGGAAATGTTCTTTCTAACTCTCACACTTCACTTACAGTTTGGATGAGTATAAAATCCTACATTGAAAATAATTTCTCCTCAAATTTTTCAAGACAATGATTCATTATAGTCTACCACCCATTGTTAGTTGTATGAGTTGTATGAAGACTGATACCAACTTGATGTTTGTTCCTTTGTAGGTAACCTAGTTTTTCCTCTCTACAAGATGTTCAAATCTGTTTTTTCATTCTTGGTATTTTGAAATCACAAATGGTGTAATTAACAGAGTATCTCTTATATTTACTGTCCTAAGCACTTCTTGAGTTCTTTCAGTCTGGAAGTTCATGACTTTCAGTTCTGGAAAATTCTTTTATTTTTTCTTTAAAATTTTCCTCCAATATATTTTCTTTAAGTTCTTTTTCTGGAACTCCAACTACTTAGATAATGAACCTCCTGCATAAAGGCACCATATCATTTTTTTTTTTCCTCTGACACATTCCTTCTCTTTGGTACTGTTTTACATCCTGGATTATTTCTCCAACTTTACCCTCCAAATTTCCTCCTACAGAACTTTAAATTTTAACCATCATTAGATTTCCTTAATTTAAACAGACTCATTTTTGGTATCTCATTATTCCATTCACACAGCATGATATGTTGATGTTTTGATGTTACACATATCATCTTAACTCTCTCTGAAAACATACATTATAGATTTTATATTTTTCTTTATTTTTTATTTTCTTTCGAAGTTTTTGTTTTTCACTGTATTCTTTTCATGTTGAAGGCATTCCTCAACTGTCTGAGGATTCCTGAATCCTCATTAATATTTAAGAATAAGGCCATAAACAGATTAATTGGGAGCTCTATGAGCATGTCTAGACTTTGGTGACTGACAAGTTTTTCTTTAGGGTAATTAAGTGATTACCTAGTTGTCTCAAAGAGGAAACTTTAACTTCCAGAATGCAAAGGTCATTACTCCAAAGTCATTTAATTCTTTAGAGGGGGGGGAAAAAAGTAGCAACTCTGTTTCCCTACCCCAACTTGGCCCTAAGGTTTGGTGACTGGCCGGAATGGAAAAACTGCAATTAACTCCTTTATCTGCATTCTCCCAAAGTATCTCATTCCCTACTCTCTATTTCACACCTTGCATATTCAAATTCTACACCTCTCTAGGATTCTGGGGGAGGGGGGCAAGACAAGCTAGACCTTCTATAAGGCAGAAGGTAATTCTGTTTTAACTGCTACAGTTTTTTAAAATGTTTTACCAATAATCAAGTATACACACATACATAAAAATAAATATATGAAACAAGAATGTCACTAAATAGTACTGATCCTACAAGACATTCTCTGGTATTTTCTCTTGTATTTTCTAATGTTGATAAATGATTTTACAACGTGTTACTGTGATGTGTGATCTGAGGTGCACACATGCGCAAAACAGAAAATGAAGTTGTGACTTGTTTCTGTCATGAACACTCTTCTCTGTTCTCTCCCCTAGAAAATTTTTGAAATCTTTCATTCACTGATGGCTCATCTCTACTTTCTTTTCACTGTATTTCTCTCTTTTACATCTTTACTATCACTTTAGTAGGATCTGCCGGAGCAAAAAGAATAAACACAAGTGCTCAGGTTTGTGATCTTTAACTTGAATTCCTCTACAAGTATTTTTAAAAACCAGGAGTTTCCTAAGCTCTTTCTGGCCTGATTTAAGGTCCCTCTGCTAACTATGATGGCCTCAATTGCTGTATTTGGGGACTTACCATTAGTGCTAGGGAATTAAAAAAGCAAAGTGATGGCAGTGACCATAAGAATCTATGCAAAAATTCCAATTAACTCTAAAACTAAGAGTAAAATTATGGCTATATGTTCAAAGTTAAACCTAAATACTTATTGAAGAAATGGAAATTTCTTTTCTTTTCTTTCTTTCTTTTTTTTTTTTACAGTGCAGGGTTTTGGAAATTTCTTTTTGAGGGAAGACTTTAGGAAAGGCTACTTCCACAGAGAAAATAATCAAAACCCAATTCTCAGATATGTCAAGAAAAATAATACTTTTATAAGAAGTAAAGCGTACTTACAAAGCAAGGCTACTCAAAACATACTGTACGTGCTCACATTCATCTGGGAATGATGCACTGGCTGATGTAAAACAGCAAAGTGCAGTCTGAAGAACCTGAAGCTGTGGCAAAGGGACCTGCCATCTTCCAGCATAATCTTCAACCACCTGATAGAGAAATAATCCAGAAAGTACATTATTATAGAAAATGTTCTCAACATCTTGAGTTTAAAAATTATGATGAAACTACTAGATAAATTAAAGCATTAGTTCAGCATGAATACAAATGATTTAGGGGGAAAAAGATTATTGTTTATTTTCATAGTGT